GACATGCCTTTTTTCCTTCCTTCCTTCCTTCCTTCCTTCCTTCCTTCCTTCCTTCCTTCCTTCCTTCCTTCCTTCCTTTCTTTCTTCTTCCCTCCCTCCCTTCCTTTCTTCCTTCCTTCCTCCCACCTTTCCTTCTTCCCTTTCTCCACTCCTTCCTTCCCCTCTTCCTTTCTTCTTTCCTACCTTCTTTCCCTAAACTCGCCCTTCTTCCCCTCTCCCTGCCCTCAACTCTCTCATCCTCCTCTTTCTTCTACTTCCTTCTTTTCTTTCTCTCCCTCTCCTCATTCTTTTCCCTTCCTTTTTGTCCTTTCTCCTTAAACTAGTTCATGAATATCTCCCATATTCCAAACACGCAGACACTTGCCTGTAAGAAGCTCATGGGCCACTGGTAAGAGAAGAAAGGGGTTCACAAAGAGCTGGAGTGCAATGTAGGTGGAGGAACCTGTGAGAGAGGCAAGCTCAAGGGCAGTGGGACTAGTTCTGAGTGTTGTCTGAGCAAGCTCACTGTGTGAGATGAAATTGTCAGGCAACTTCCCTAGTTTTCCCACTGTCTATTCACAAGCTCTCTCAAGAAGGAAGGTCCTGTGACTCCAGGTACACACTAGGAAAGATCCATGACTTAAATGAACAAAAAGTTCAGTGAAATAATCCCTCAAGTGACATTTAGGCTTAACTCACATTTAGAATGCTTGGTCCCAGGCAGCAGGCAAAGCTCACAGTTTCACACAAGTATAGCTTCTTCTCTTCTCTCAGGCCAGGTTCTCCACATCTGGATGGAAGCTAAAGAGCCAGCTTCCATTTTCTAAGGTCCCACTATCTGCCTGTGGCTCTACAAGCAGAGCCCAATTCAGAACATTCCACTCCTCTCATTTGTAAGGTCCACACTGCAGACCATGGAGACATGTTTTTGCAAGACACATTCTCAGAAAGCAACTCAGGTACCACATGCTCCATGCTCCCCGCTACTCCACACACTGGAGCACCTTGCTTCTCCTGCTATCACCATGATGGGTTTGCCAGACAGATTCCCCTTTCCACTACGGGGGTTAGACACTTGTCACTGAATGGTCCCATCAAAAGTCGCTAGAAGGTTTGAGCCGAAAGGCAATCATACCCACCCCTCCCCACTATGAGAGAGCACACAGCTCAGCCCTCTCCAAAGAAATTCTTTTTGAAATCACCATCCCTTCAACTTCCAACCCACTTGTTCCTTCACACCCTTGAAGAGAGTGAGGACATTAGAGCCATGAAACCAGTTTCTGGATATTTCTTGGGCCGTCTTTAGCAGCCAATACTCAGCCAATTCAGACCCTCACCTCTGGTTTCAGAAGTTAAAGAAAAGGCAGGAACAATTCTGCCTGGGGAGATTAAGGGATATGAACATGTGGGAATGGGCACTTTCCTTTGAATGAAAAGGAAGGTGTCACAGAAGAGTGCCATGACTGACTTTATGCACTGGAGCAAATGGTCAAGGTCAATGATAGGAGTCCCGTGGGGCAGATAAAGAACCACTGGCTAACTACTGTGGTCCCTGACCCTGGGAACATTTTCCCTGGGACATTTTTATTGGGAATTTTAGATTGTATTGTTTTCTATATTTTATTGATGTGTAAACAAACTTTGAGAATCTTGGATGTGCTGTTAATTATTTGGGTTCCTCAAAATGTGAGCGTATGAGACTTGGAATTGAACCATCTCACTCTTGAAGTTCTGGGGAAGAACATGCATGTACCCCAGTGGAAGACAGCTCAGAACACAGCCATTCAAGGATTCCCTGACTCTACTCAGATGCTTAAAATGCCTCTGCCTTGGATCTAGCATGGTGAAAATACAGGGATGACCTCTATTTCTTTGAACTTGAATTTAACTCGACAATTTGGACTTTGTCTGGACTTTAATTCACAAAGACTAAATACTTTGATTTTGGTCTTTAATCTCTTTGGGATTTTTAATCTCTAAATTCTCCCCTAGAAATTTGATAATGGGAAAGGTTTATATCCAAATTGGGGGCATCTTATTTTGGCATTTATTATTGAAGAATCTTCATGCATTTTTTATTAGCTCTTTATGCATGTTATTATTGAAGTATCTTCACGCTGCTATTAAATCTCATTACAGAACCTCTGATGAGTTTATTGGGCCATGTGGCTGGACATAAATTTGGACTGGAAATAGAATAGGCTCTGAACTTTCAGCCTTGGGCATAGCATATCTTTGAAGTTGATTTCATTAATGTACTTCTGGGGTCCACTGCAGAGCCTTACGGAAGCAAAATCAACCCTGTCTTACGATGGTCCCAGGAAGATGCAGGTAGGATCAGGGATATTGGTACTGGGGAGCAGCCTGATGTTAGAGAGGCAGGACAGCTGGGATTGGCAGATCCTTCCTTACTTGGAGAAGATGATCATATCCCTGGTTTATGGGCACTAAAAGATAAGCTTAATTAGTTAAAACACACACACACACACACACACACACACACACACACACACACACACACACTGGGGAATGATCATTCCTTCTGTGATGACTAATTTTCATTATCAACTTCACTGGATCTAGAATCATCTAGGATAGATACCTCCAGGAGTTTGTGTGAAGACACTTCCAGAGAGGACTAACTGAGCAGAAAAGGCCCACCCTGAACATAAGTGGTACCATACCAGTAAGCTGGGGACCTGGAGTGAATGAAGTGGGGGAGAGGAGAAAGCCAGAGGAGCAGAGGAGTGCCAGCATTCCCCTGGCTCTCTGCTTCCTGGTCCACAGAGATGGGCATGAGTAGCCTCATGTTCCAGCCACCATGCCTGCTACATCATGGAGTTTGTCCTAAAACAACATGCCCTTTCAACCTTAAGTTGCAACAAAAACAGCAACTAATGCACCTGACTCCTCTGGCTTCCTTGTGGAGGAGCTTCCTGAAGCCATACTCGGGGCACCTCTGCTTTCCTCCGCTCTTCCTCTCCATTTGTGCTACCCATTCTCTCCCCACTTTCCGCTCTCTCTCCCTCTCTCTTTTGGGATGTGCTGCCTTCCGTCCCTGCAGGGAGCCATGGGACAAGATGAACATAAACTCTACCGTGGAAACTCCAAGTTTTGCTGGAGATCAAATCAGTTCCAGAGTAGAAAAGCCATTTTGTTTTGGTCAGATAAGAACGACGCCCTCCCGTTTAACCTTAAAGGGTATGTTTTTGTCTCTATTTCTCTGGTTCTTGGTTCATCACAGAGATGTTGCTGGAGTTTGGGAGGGAGAAAGCAATGTTCTGTGCTTGCCCCCTTAAGTCCTAGTAGCTACCCTTTTGGACCAGTGGCAAAGTGATTTCTCAGCTGTGAACTAACAGTTTTCTTTGGAATGAATTGTGCTCTTTCAATTTTCCACTTCAAAAGCACACGCTTTAGCAGAAGTCACTTTACAGCAAATGAAGAGAGGAATTTCCCCTGGGGAGAGGGGTTTGATGCTTAGAGGAGGGCAGAGGGGGCGGGTTTGGGGGCTTCCTTTCCCCCCACCTGGGAAGCCACCAGGGGGTCTTTTTGATATCTTCATCCTCACAGCCAATAAGGTTGTGGTTTGCAATATGCTAGTGATTAAGCCCTGCTCCAAGGGGCTGAACTGCCTCCTAGAAGCCACAAGTTCAAGAACATAAGCCGGGTTAGAGATGGCTGAGCATGCCTGCCTCATGACGAGGGAGGGAGGGCTGTGTGGGTGTTGCTGAGGGATTACTTCCTCACCATACCTTCTGTCCAAAAAAACGAAAACAGCAGCAGAGCCACGAGGACAGTATGTTTGACACAGTGACTGAGACCATGCCTCATGAAACTCTTCAGGGTCCAGAGTGCTTCTGTCTTCTTCACTGTCTGTCTACACTGCCTTCTCCCTCGTCAGCACCGCTGTGCTTTACAGCCCATTTCTAGGTTAGCAGACAGTGACTTAGCCCTATCATCTCCTCCCCACCAACCAGTGAAACATATACCATTATGAAAACTCCCACTTTTAATGGGGAGACAGACAAATGAAAACAGGGCCAACACAGGTCGAATATTCTTTACTCCAGAATGCTTGGTATTGGGGGTGCTTCAGATTTTAAATGCCTTTTTTGTTTGTTTTTAGTTTGGAACATTTGAATATACATATAATAAAATTCCTTTGGGATAGGACTTGAGTCTCAACCCAAAATTTTTATGGTTCATATTCTCTTTATATACAAAGCCTGGAGTCAAATCTTAGAAACTACGTATTGTGCATCTGCATTTTTTTTCTCACGTGCGTGTGTTTCTATTTGTGTGGGAGCACATGCATACACACACGTATGCACACATGATGTAGAGACCTGAAGTGGACATGGAGAGTCTTTCCTGAGGCAGGATCTCTCAGGTGAGCCTGGGGCTGGCCAATGTGGCTATTCTGGCTAGCTAGCTTGCTCTGGGATCTCCTATCTCTGCCTCTCAGAAACTGGGATTAGAGGTGGGCCACGATGCCCACCAAGCATTTAGATAAATCCTAGGGATCTGATGGCAGTCCTCACATCTTTGCAGCAGGCACTTTAACCAGTGAGCAGTCTCCCCAGTCCTGCACCTGCACTTTTGACTATGGCCTGTCACGTGAGGTAAAGTGTGGGATGTTCTACTTGTTTTACGCCGTGACTCAGAGTCTTTCATATTTTTGTATTTGTGTTTAGAAATCAACTTTCAAAATTTCAGATTAGAGATGTTTAACTGGCAAGTGGTGGAGGCAGAATTCTGATATGCACCGCTGTGACTCCACTCTGTGCTCCCAGTAAGTACACTCCTCACTGCAGATGCTCATCCTCCGTCTTCTTGGATGCTTCCAGTGATGAGGTGCTCACTAGCCCCTGAGTTTCCCACTGGGCTCTTGGGCAGAGTACACTTCTCTCTCACCAGGTCTAGGATTTTCTGCTTGTAGCCACCCCTGCGGCTTCTTGACCCCTATGATGACATATTTGATGGAGGCAGGACCCAGTTAATGCTTCGCCACTGAGCCCTGTGGGATACTGGGAGAGTTGCCATGTAAAAGGCTGACCCATGGAGCTGGCATTCCATAGCATGCTGTGAGGCTTAAAATGGGTGTGCTGGGATCCACAGAACCGTGGCTTCCTGTGGGGTGGACCCTGAGGGATAGCTGAGCAGCCGGCCTTCCCCCCCTTCTCTCTCAGCCCCCCCACGGCCCTCCACAGGCGGAGATCTCCATGCTGAGGCTGTACTTCCTTCCCTGCTCTGGGAGGTCTCCCTCCGCGGATGCTGTTTGCAATGTTGTACATCCACCTCTGCAAGCCTGCCAAGCGTTCTGGCTGGATGAGGCTGTTCACACTTGGAATGCTTGTTTACCTATCTCCCGCTGAACAAATTTACCAAGTAAACATTTTGGGACATCTCAGAGATTAAAAAAACATCACAACACAGAACTAACACAACTGCGTGTCCTCCTCCATCCCCTTGTTTCTAACTAGTAAATCAGAGGGTGGGATTAGCACAGATTCAAGTCCTTGGCATCAGCTCAATTCTGGATGCTCTATCCACCCAGCTCCCAATACCGGTCTCTCCTTTAACTCTCAAATGCTCTAGGAAGTGATGACAAGGAGAACATGGGCTGCTGAATCAACTAGACTGGCTTCAAATCCCCGCTCTGTCTCTCAGTAGCTGTGTGATGAGGTCGCTCCGGAACTTCTCCGGGGTTTGGTTATCTCAGGGAGCGCTAATGCCCATGTTCTATTATTGTGGCAAACTCTTCAAAGACAAGCCATTTCCATCAGTTCACTCAGGACTATTGAATGAAGGGTCAGGAGCGGGACACGGCAGCTGGACCACCAGAGAGGCCCTGAACTTCCCGGCAATGCTCAGATCTTCCTGTGCTTTTGTGACTTCATCTGCTGAGCCTTGCCTTAGATAAGTTTTCTTTTTTCTTTCTTCTCCCTCCTCCTTTTCAGGTGCCGAGTAATGAACTTAAGGCTTCAGGTATGAGGTATGCTAAGCGCATGTTCTACCACTGATCCCTATGCCCAGCCTAGTTTTTCTGCCTTTTGAGAGATGTGTCATTGTGATGGGAAGATGGGGAAGGCATTCAGAGTCTGTTAAAGAAAGGTGAGCAGCCTGACGTGAGTTAATAATGGCTGATGCTAGTGTTATGGGGTCCCAAGGGAGAGAAAGCACAATTCTAAGGCAGAGAAGCTCAGTAACTGCTGCTGCCTCCTAGCAAAGACCCTGCCTCTGAGGATGTCCTCATGTTCTTCATGCACTGCCCCACAGCAGATGTCTGCAGCATTGTCTCTTGCATCTTCTTTTCCTTTGGGGACTGTAGCTAGAGTTTTCCTGCCTTGCCCACAGTCAGGACAAATCTCTTGTCACCCGCCAGTCCCACAGCCACTCAGACCCAACCAAGTAAACACAGAGACTTACATTGCTTACAAACTGTATGGCCATGGCAGGCTTCTTGCTAACTGTTCTTATAGCTTAAATTAATCCATTTCCATAAATCTATACCTTGCCATGTGGCTCGTGGCTTACCGGCATCTTCACATGCTGCTTGTCCTGGCGGCGGCTGGCAGTGACTCCTTCTGCCTTCCTGTTCTTTCTTTTCTCCTCTCTGTTAGTCCCGACTATACTTCCTGCCTAGCCATGGGCCAATCAATGTTTTATTTATTGACCAATTAGAGCAATTTGGCATACAGAACATCCCACAGCAGGGGACCCTCTACTCTTTCTGGAATGTTTCATAAAGAGTTGGATGCCTCTTCCTGCAATGTCTTTCTCAGCCTCCCCTGGCCCAGCACTTCCCAAAAGATGTGTTAGTTATTTTCAGGACACTGTAACCAAGCACCTGGCAGAAAGAACTTCAAGGGAAATGATTCATCTTGCCTCAAGTTCTCAGAGGGTTCAGGTGGCGGTTTCTCAGCCCCGTGAAGTTGAGCAGAGCATCATGGCTGCAGCAGTCCATGGCAGAGGACACTTGTTCCCATGATTGCAGATAGGCGAAAGGAGCATCTGGGGGCGGTCAATACTGCCACAGTGAATTTTTCCTCCAACTAGGCCCCACCTGCTTCTCTTCCCCATCTCTCAATAACACCATTATTGATTAGGTCAGAACCTTCAGGATTCAATCACTTTCCCTAACCCCATCAGTTAGCAATGAAGTCCCCAGTACTTAAGCCTGTGGGGCACACATCTCATTCAAGGCACAGCGTCAGGTGAACTCTGGTTCATCCACCAGAGTGGCTTCTGTTCTCCGAGTGAGTGACTCAGACTCCCCATTCCTTCTCCTTCTGTCCCCCTCTTCTCAGCTCCCAGGACACAGTGTGAGCCGTTGCTACATCCTAACATTGTCTAGCCATTGTTTGTTTGCATGGCAGTCTCCCTTGCCAGATTTAGGGCAGGGACTGCAGTTATTCTTCACCGTGTCCCCAGTGCCCGGCACAGTGCCAGACAGATAATACACAATTAATAAAACCTTGTTGTTGGATCGCATGTACAACTGTACCAGCTCTCTTGTTTCACATCTCTCTTCCCATGGCATGTTCATGGTCTCTCCTTGTCCTGTTGTTTTCTCCTTTGTCCCACCACTGTCCCCTCTGTCCCCTAATTGATTTTTTTTTCTAGCCAGTAGCAAGGCCGGAGATGCCACACTAAGTGAAAAACGTCCCTGTCAATCATCAAGAGTTGCCACATTCTCTTAGGTGAGTAGCGTTTGGGGAATGGTGTTTATCCCCACTCTTCCCACACCCCCAGGGTGGGTTGGGAAGGGGACAAAGCCAGCTCATCTAATTTGGTAGAGTCCAGCATGGAGCCAGGCTGCCCCCATCCTTCCTCCTGCTCTCCTTACCTCTGCAGGCAGTTCTGGGCTAACAAGTCAGGCTTCGTTAAGATAAGGCACACCTGTTACCTGCCCGAACCCTGCCCTTCTCCCTGGTGGCAATTAGCGTGGCTCTGGCTGGTGCAAAGATTCCTACTTCCCTGCCTTCTTCACAGCCGTTCTCGGGGCACAGGCTATCAGAAGCCCCTGCCCAGGGGTCCCGCTGTCCGCTATTATATTGCTTGCCCTGCCATGCCGCCTCCACAGCATCCCTGAGAGAGGAATTGTAATGTGCACTGAAGACAGCAGCAGGACTCAGGAGGGGTGAGGACTCAGGCTCTGGGCAGGTGAAGAGGTCTGCACTACGTTGTTTTAAACTTTCAAGAGACAGCTTCAGGAGCCCCGTGCTTATTTATTGTACATTACCAGCCTAGGGGAGGGTGGGGTGACAAGGTCAATCCTCTGAGGGCCAGTCTAGGGTGGGTAGAATGAAGCTCCCTGTACAGTGGGAGCAGGGTCCTGGGGGTGGGTGGGTGGGGATGTCACTTTGAACAGAGCAAAGCAGAAAATGTACTCTGTGAGGTCATATCCATCCTCCTGCCTCCAAAGCCTTTCCTTTCCCCACAAAGCCTTCTGTCTCTCAATTAGGGATGGAACATGTAGGGGCTTTGGCTGAGCCATCCCCATCCCCACTGGCCCTAATTATGCTCACGATTAGGAGAAATTTTTATTGCATAGCTTTCCAAACCCTTGTGTGCCAGTAACTCTGCTCACAGGCCTCTATTTCATCCGAAAATGGGAGGAGAGTAGCTGGAGGCATGAGTGAGAAGAGAGCATCTGCTGAGGGGGATGCTTACATTTATTTCAATACCTACTAGGTACCAGGCATTACATTGGACCGCTTATTTTATCCTCATGGTAACCCAATAAGACACCACCCCTCACACACACTTTACAGAGGAGTAATGAAGAGCGGAGACACATGACCTTTGTACCAGCACGGACCTAACAAGCAGTTGGTCACTGTCCCCACTGTGTCTTGCGTTTCTTTATACACTTTGCAGGGTCACTCTAGGTAGCTAGGCCAAACAAGGCCTCTCCCTTAGACCTCCCACACTCCCAACCCTTCTGCTAGCTTCGAGCCCCCTGTATTTCCTGCACCCCCATGTACTGATGCCAGCCTCAGTGGATGCTCAAATAGGCCTACGGTAATATATACCTGAACTCTGAGGGAAGAAGGTGCCTGTCTCTGGCTGGAACTGGCTAGGTTCCACACGAGTGCCTCCCAGTGAGTACCCGGTTTCCCAAAGTGCACTGGCCCCCTCATCCAGCTTGTCACTCTCCCACTGTAGCCTTGGGTTAGAGATGACCTACCTGTACGTGCATGTGCCTGGGCTCAGGTGCCTGGTGCTGCTTTGGTGTAGGTAAAAGGTGGGAACCCTGCTCTCCAAGGTCACAGGTTGTCCGTCCCGTTCTCATGTGCAAGAAGGAAGCCCAGGCTGGCATAGCAACCACTCCTGCAGCCCCTGTCTTGTTGGGGTTAAGGCCACTCCTTAGCCTGCTTCATAGTTTGAATCAGACCTTGGCAATGGCCCCGCTCCATCTGCCTCCCTGGGTTTTGGAACCCAGCCTCCCTCTTGAGGACGCATCCTCTGTGTGCAGCTTACGTCTGGTGCCTCTGAGAGGCTGGTCTTGTCTCCCTTGGACGGAGACCCAGCTTCTGACTCTATCTCAATCACTCTTCCATCCCACAGCCTTTGGGATGGTTTTAGCTGCTCTAAACACCTTCGGATTTGGAGCTAGGTTAGGGTCCTCCCCGTTTGGGTGCTGGGGATCAAAACCAGGGCCTCATTCATCTTGGCAAATGCTCTACCACTGAACCACACCCAAGCTCTGGAGACCTTTGTATAAGGACACTGATCCTTCTAATTATCAAAATGATTAGGTTTTGACATATGAATTTGGGGCTTATGTAAATATTTAGACTATAGCAAGCTTAAACACAGGTTTGGTGAAAACGTATTTATATTTTAAAATTTCTCATTTCTATGACTATTTTTTATTTTGTTTTTTCAAGACAGGGTTTCTCTGTGTAGCTTTTGGAGCCTGTCCTGGAACTCACTTTGTAGACCAGGCTGGCCTTGAACTCACAGAGATCTGCCTGCCTCTGCCTCCTGAGTGCTGGAATTAAAGGCGTGTGCCGCCGCCGCCGCCGCCGCCGCCGCCGCCACCACCACCACCACCACCTGGCCTACTATTTCTTATTTTTTGAAAATTTCATACATGTATACAATACATCTTGACCAATCCAACCCCCACATTTCCCCTCCAGTTCTCCCTGGAATCTCCCAACAAACACATCTCCCTTCAAAATTCTTTCCCTATTTTTTAATAACCTACTGATCCCAGTCAGTGCCGGCCCTTCTGAGTACACGTGTGGGGTCACCTCCTGGGACACTGGCAGCCTATCAGAAGCCACCCTGCACGAAAAAGCCAGACTCTTTCTGCAGACTCTTTCTGCAGCCGTGAACTGCCAATAGTGCCCGAGCCAGGGTGCAGGCCTCGGCAGCCCCTCTCCATTCTGTGCTGGAATTTTGAGCTCATCTGAACCTGTGTGGACCTTGTGAGTCGGTGAGTACAATGGCCGGGTCATGACCAGGGAACAGCATTGCCCGGCACACTCCTCCACATCCCACTGTTCTTACATTCTTCCTCGAAAACGGTGTTTTTATTGACAAAATAAGCTCTGTTCACTCCAGAAAACATGGAGATTTTAGATGTGATAAAACAACATACTCATCTATATGCTTTTCCTCACTTGGTGTGGTGCGGGGGGCTTGAACTCAGGGCCTTGTGCAGTCCAGGAACGCACTCTGTCACTGGGCTACACCTCCAGCCCTCAACCATATTCTGATACAAATCAGGTCATATCACTCAACACTCAGGAGTAAGTACTTCCAGGTTGGGTTTGGTGTATATTCATAAATGCCCATGGCTGTCCAGAGAAAGTCAAAAAGGATTCATTTGGTGGCACCCAGGATTGACCCTAAGGCCTTATGCACTCGAGGCAAGCATTTCAAGCCCTATTTTATCTATCTATCTATCTATCTATCTATCTATCTATCTATCTATCTATCTATCTAGATATAGATATAGATTTTTTCTGTTAGTCTTTAACTTGAGATCCTTCTACATTGGTCTCCTAAGTAGCTAGGATTGCAGATGTGTGCCAGCAGGTCAAAGTCACTGTGAAACTTTAAAAAATATTTATTTCTTTGCATGTGTGCATGGTGTGAGTATGCATGTTCACATGTATGGGTGCACACGTGTATACAGGTGTGTGTGTGTGTGTGTGTGTGTGTGTGTGTGTGTGTGTGTGTGTGTGTGTAGGCCAGAGGGTGACATTAGCTGTCTCCCTTTATCCCTCCACACTTGGAATTTGGATCTCATTGACTCGGTTAGTCTAGCGAGCCAGCTTGTTGTGGGGGACCTCCTGGCTCTGTCCCCCACCATGTGATGGAACGGCAGGTGAGTCACCATGCCCACTTGTCATTTCCGTGGGTCCTGGAGATTCAAACCACAATCCACATGCTTCTGTAGCAAGAGCTCTATTCACTTAGTTGTCCCCCCACCACCACAGTGAGAATTTTAAAGGCAGAAAAATACATTTCTTGTTTGAAACATGACAAAATATATGTAAGAGAAAATTTACCATCAAGCCACTTTCAAGGCTGCACACAGTGGTGTATTTTCACAGTTGTGAAAAAAGGTGCAGCATGTTCTTATCTGAAAGACTGTGTATCTGTACTCATGTAAATAACCAGTCCCTGTGCCGGTCTGGGACTAGCAGATCCCCAGGCAGCAGGGAAGCCTGGGGACTGTGGTAGGAAGTTAATAGAGGATGCTCAGTGACCAGTAAATAGTCTGATGGATGGGACTTTGTAATGGACTCTGAGTTTTGTGTCTCGATTTCCTTACCCAAAAACCAGGTGGTGTACTTGCCCTATGCACTGGCTACTTTTATGGCAACTTGACACAAGCCAGAGTCATTTTTGAAAATGGGAACATCAATTGAGAAAATGCCCCCACCAGACTGGCCAGCACACAAAGCTGATGGTGCATTTTCTTGATTGATGATTGATGTGGGAGGGTCCAGCTCTCTGTGGGCAGTGTCACACCCAGGCTGGTAGTCCTGGGTGCTGTAAGAAAGCCACGAGGAGGAAGCCAGTAAGCAGCATTCCTCCATGACCTTTGCTTTAGCTCCTGTCTCCAGGTCCCTGCTCTGACTTCTCTGAGTGATGAACTACAAGCTGTAAACTGAAAAACACCCCTTCTTTCCTAAGCTGCTTTTGGTCATGGTGTTTTATCATAGCAATAAAAAGTCTAACTAAGACATCCCGTTTAGTTCACACAATCTAAATGATATGCAAAACCCAGTGATATGTGCCCTGGCTGTCTGCATGGGATGCTGTAACCCTGGGCTATGTGTGTGCCACCCTGGGTTGAGTCAACTCTTCCAACCAGCCTAGCTCCATGTTCTTACCCTTATGGCCAAGCCTGCGCTCAGTGTTAGAGAAGATCCAGCTCCTGATGAATAGCTATCCCGGGGCCCAACCCCCAGTCTTCCTCCTCTGGAGGGAGGAAGCCATGGAATGGGGAACTGAAACCATACATCTCATCTCTGTTGCTGCCCTCTAAATGTTTGTTGTGTATTTTTTGGTGTTTTTTTTTTTTTGTCCCCGGGTATGTGGTGTGGAGTGTAGCATTTTTTTGCGCTGATATTTTCTCAGACTCCAGAGACTCTCATCTTGCCTCCTTTCCATCCTTTTCTCCTTCCATGGAGAGAGGAGGCTCCTGTTTGAGGGACACT